AAAAGGAAAAGAAAAAGTTCAAGTGAAACACAATACCAAATTTGCAGGTATTTTTGTTTTTTCGTGTCATATATCATTTGCTTAGTTTTCTTGATTGAAGTTCTGAAATTAAAGTTTAAGTATGATTTTGTAGAGAATGTCACAACGCTTCTATTAAAAACAAGAATTTGTTCCAGAAAACGTAATGAATAGGAGTTAGAGCAAAAATACCGAAACCGAGTTCACGATTAATTTTTATTTTTTGTGAAGCACATTTCTAAGCTTATAACTTTCTTACTGCATGAGCTAGCAGGATCATTCAACAGCCATTTTGTAGAGCATCTTTTCTTCATAGAAACAAATTTACAACCATATGTTTCACTATAGAAAAACTTAATATACAAATCGAGTCAGAACTTCTGGCCCATCCTTTATACTGTTTGTTCCCGATATCACTTCTCACTAGAATATTTTCTTCTCATTTATTCGCCCACTTTGTTTAACTAGATTAGAAAAGAAAGAGACAGACAAACTTAAATTGGTTCTCAACGGTTATCAAGATTTTACTTTTTTCTATTCATTAAAAAATTATTCCAATTTGGCCTAGCCGAAATTAGAATTCCAATTTGGTCTAGACGAAATTAGAATTGGGCTGAATTCTAACTTCGGCCACAACATATATATATTGATACTGAATTGTGTGTTATAATTATGTTTCATTTTCTAGATTTATTTTATATTAAAAATACTCTAATATCTAATATGTCTATAGAAAAAGATCCATATTCATTAATAAAATATATTAATGTTATCAATATGAATAATGATGGTTATGGATATCCAACAATACATGCTTTTGTTCTAATGGGATTATTAAAAATGAATGAAAAATTTCTTTGTAACATAAATAATAGATTATATGAATGTTATATCGATAAAAATGAAAAAAATCAATATGTTTTATGTTATCAAAATAAAATAAAAGAAACAAAAATTATAAAATTTATTCATAAATTATTTAAATTAATCAAAATTAAAATACGATCTATGGGAGTACCATTTCAATATATACATCGTGTTAGTGACAATCGAACATTACTTATGTTATATAATGATTTAAAAGAAAAGTTTCAAGAACGAATAATAAAAATGCTTATAAATAGTGAATTTGACATATGGGAAATTCATACAGACTATGATTTTGACAATAAAAAAATAAAATTTATATGTAAATCCAATATGACAATTAATGATATATTACAAATAATTAATAATAATAACAATATGAGTCACAATGACATTAATGATAATATATTTAAAGAAAAACAACAATTATATAGTTTAATAAAACATGATGCTATTGAAATTAATTATCAACCAATAACAGATGATGATAAATTCATATTGGAGAGTGGTGGTGGTAATGATACATCTTATAGTTCAGATATGTATAAAGATGAAGGTAGTATTTCATTTTTTTTTAATTTTAATAAACTTGATTTCTTTTTTCTTTATTATACACATATATTTAGAAAGTAAACTACATTCATTTTTGAATAGTTCAGATTATTTTCAACATAAAATAAATTAAATTTAAGGATATGATTATGTCATACGAACTCAAATGATTTCATTTAGACTTACAAATTTTATGTTTATCTTGTATTTGTTCTTTTTTTTTTTTTGAATCAATAAAACAAAAATAATGACTGTACAAATTTCGAAATATATCTTCGTTCTCTAGAATAACTTACTTTGTTTTGATACGCAAACAATCGATGCATCTACCTTTTCTTTTTTGATTTGGATGTTCTCAACTAATATTTTTTGTTTTTTTCCATCAATCATTTTTCTTTGGATAATTTAATATAATTATTGAAGAAAGAAAGATACTTAAATTGTAATGAAAACAATATATAAAAGTAGACTATTTAGATCATAGAACAGAGATGCTCAAGTTAGACTTGTCGCCTTTAGAATGATAGTCTGTATTCATTTAATCCTAATGAAAAAACAAAAATCATTATTCATAAATTTTTAGTAATTTCATTAGATAAATTCAAATCTAAATCAGTATCTTCGAAAATTTTTCGTAGCATCATTTTCTCTATTTTATCATAATCAATCTTTCATTTTTTTTCTCGTTGTTTATGTTTCAAATATTATACAATGTTAATTTCTTTTCGAATACATTTTATTCAAAACTAAAAAAAAAGAGAAGAAAAAATATTGATAATTTTGTTTTTCTTTAGCTGCTTCAGTTAAAGTTTTTTTTTTTTTTTTTTTTTCTTATGAAGATAAGTATTGAAATAAATCTGAAATCATGAGATCGATTCCATTGAGAATAGACTAGGTCTACAAGAATGTATGTTCATGAAGTTTTTCTTCTTGAATTATTGATATATTAGTGAATTTTTCAATAAAATATCATGATTCTAATTCAAAATTGACTTTCAAATTCAAATTTTAAACAAATAAATTTTTTATTATTGAAATATCAGATTTCCTAATATCTCTTCTTGTCAAATGCTGATATTAACAAATAACGCTCATTGACATCGAAAGTCAATTCACTAGGCACTAGACTGACGGAATAATTATACAGATGTAATTACATTTATATATCAAAATATGATGACTGTATGAAAAAAGTAATAATATTTCAAACATGTTGCGAGTCCCCACGGAAAAATTTTTCAAGAAAAAACCGCGGTTTCATAAACCGCGAAAGCCAGACCTTTTATGCGGTTTTTGAAACCGGCGAAAACCGCGGTTTGCAAATACCGCGGTGAGAACCAAGAAAATCGCAGTCCGAGCTGAGTTTTTGCAGGTCTAACCGCGGTTTTCTCGGTTCTCATCGCGGTATTTGCAAACCGCGGTTTTCGCCGGTTTCCAAAAACCGCATAAAAGGTCTGACTTTCGCGGTTTTTCAAAATGTGGAACTAAACCGCGGTTTTTTTCGGAAGAATTTTTCCGTGGGAAATCATAGATGAAATTTCAACATTTTATATTGAATGTTTCATATGGACATCAAAATTTTACACTATCAGATTGGTAGTTGATTTATTTAAGCAAATATGTATGATTGAATTAATACCGTATGCAAAGTATTTAAAAAAAAAATCAGGTGAATCGATTTTTTAATGAACATAAGTTTCTCGCATTATGATATAGCAAAAAAAATAAATCAATTAGAATAATATCTATTATTTCAGTAGATATACATATAAATTAGTGTTGAAGCTTTGTACAAACGAAACATATGGGTATTGCGTACACATAACTAGTACTCGGCGTGATCAAATTTTTTTGATTACATTCACGTCATGATCTCTAATTATTGTGATCGTTAGTCACAGCATTTTTTTCTTATCTGTAATAATCTCATAAGCGATTTCTTTTTTTCATAAAGATCAGATAGGTCGGTTGCAGAAGTGAACATTGGACAGCTTTTACTGTCGTATCATACTGGCTTAGTTCGTTCAGCCGGTAGCAGGACAGTAAAAATTTCTATGTTGATATTTGATCATCGAAGTACATATTAGTTTATCAATTATTTTATAGTTCATCCATTCCATATTATTCTTAAAGGCAATAAATTAGATTTTGAATAATGAATAATATCATAAATACAAGAACACATCTTGAGCTATTATTTGAATGACATGTTCATCAGAAAAAATAAATAAGTTTTAAAAACTATGATTTTTTTTTTGTCGTTTTATCATCGGTATCTTAACACATTACAGATGTCAAAAATAAAAGAAATAGCGAAAGAAAAAAGTATTTGATGACAAAAATGATGAAAACAAAAAAAAAAGAAATTAATATAGAAATAAAAGTATTTTTTGTATAACTTTATTCTTTTGCATCAACCTGATAACTAAAATGCAAAGCAGTTGTATAGAATGCAAACTATTTTCAATTCTTGAAATAATCAAATCGGTTGTTGTGAACTATTTGTCTACATTAGCTTATGTAGCAAGTATTGAGTGAATAGATTGAGACAAACGGAAAATTTGCCTCCATGATCTATTAAAAATGGCAAAGGATTGGATTTTAGTTTTTATTTATCAAGTTCTAAGCTGAAGCTGGATGCTAGAATAACTTTTTCTATCTTCTCCTATCTCTCTGTCGCATTCCATCGTGTCAGATGGTAGGACTGTTCTGTTCAGTAAGTAATATCCATTTCAAAAAAGAAAAAATGTGGATATTTGTTGAATAAATTTTGATAGGAACGAGATAGAAAGCTACAGTTTCTACCATGCGAAAGAGACTATGTCATTGCATAGTTTTATATAATATTCAACAATATATTGATTGTCTGTCAGTGATCTTCGGGAAAATACTGAAAGTCCTATGATAATTACATCAAATTTTAATTATAAGAAGTGCAATAGATCTGCCAACTCCGGTTCTAAAAATCTATGCAAATCCAAAATTTATATGTTCTTTCGTTCAAGAGTTATGTATGCAACATTAAGCATCATGAGCACATTTTCGACAATTTTTGCAGAATTTCAGAAGTTCACAGGCGCATATATCCTCTCTTGGAAACGTCTCAAGAGCCTGCAATCTATATTGTAGATCCACTTTTGTATGTGCTTTCCATCACTAATCTCGAAACTGTCAAGTGATTCTGTAATGAATCCAATAATGTCTATACTATTTCTTAAAACAACGAAGACCATCTTAGAAACATTCAATATATACTTTGATCATTGGAGATTGTATTTCGCATCGAATTATCTCTTTCTTCTAAATTTCATCTAATACGAATATGTTTTGACTCCGGTATCATCGACTGAAACAGTAACAGCTATAGTGAAAATAATGACTAAAACGGGCTATCTTGATACCGTAGACTGTTGTCTGTGTATTTTAGTCAAAAAACATTCGTTTTAGATAAAATTTAGAGTAATGAGATAATTCGATGCGAAATACAATCTCTAATGATCAAACTATATATTGAATGTTTCTGAGATGGTCTTCATTGTTTTAATCAATACAGACTACCGTTACAAAGGCGACAAGTCTAACTTGAGCATCTGTTTTCTTTGATCTAAGTAGTCTGGTTTTCTACATTGTTTTCATTACAATTTAGGTATCTTTCTTTCTTTCTTTGATAATTATATTACAGGGTTGCCAAAAATGTTTTGCCCAGGGTTACAGTTCCAATGACGAACGATATCAACATTGAATTTTATACCAAATGAAAGTCTATCAAAAATGGGGTTTAGTCATACGAATGAATAAGGACTATAAAGACTATTCTCTATCGAACTTTGATAATTACTAGAAATGCATGAACTACAGTCATAGCAAAACTTTCTTTTATCATAGAGAGCTCAAACTAACTCTATATGCCGCCTTCATTCTCGCGTGAAGGTATATCCCATTACATGATATGTCTACAAATTGAGATTTGTGGAAAATGAAATAGACACCATGCTTTTGTTAGATATTCTGTCAATTCTGCATTGCGACTAATTGACAGTTAGTTTACATAAATTGTTAAAAATCTGCCACTTCAAAAAAATACACTTTAAAACAAGAAGGTCATATAAAATTTTAGTTAGTATTAATAGTTAAAAGTAATATTTGAGTGATATTGAATATCTTTATGAAATTGACTTCGATATTAATCATGCGAGTGTGATTTTATCGTTTTCAGACGTTTCTAAGAAAAGAACTCCAAAAAGAAAATGATTCAAAAAGCGCATTTGTCTGTTGTAGTGCATGATTACTTGTATTTACAAATACTAATGTCTGCTTATTTAAATTGCAGGATGTTTTCACGATATGTTGTAGCTATAATTGAGAAGCTATGGATAAAATTTTGAACCCTATATCATGACGTTTTCGGGAAATATTCAACAAACAAGAGCCAAAAATAACTCATCTGGTAATCCGAAATTCTCAGTGTGAACCCTCATCCTATAGATTTAACGTTTTCTTGCTATTTAAAAAGAGTATTTTTTTTTATAACTCTTGCTTTTAAAGGGGGAGTAAAGGAATAAAAAAATTCAATGTCACAAAACTGACGCTCTAATTATAAAAGTACTCTCTTATATCATAGTAATAAAGGTTAATTCAAATAAA